GCTTAGTCAAGGTATATGCTAAGGCATGATAGGATGCAGACAGCACTAATTTACTGAATTCAATGGATCAGAGTCCTGACATTTACATAGAACCTGATAATAGAGTCAGCTATGAAGAAGCGTCTGTCAGCAAGTATGCACATATCTATGTGTTTACATTCATTACTGGATACATATGCAGAACAATGGAAAGATTTCTCTTCTGCTATAGAATAATGTGACACATTATTTTCATAACAGTCTGAGGCAATCAGTAAAGAACAAACAAAAAGAACACAGCAGCATCTTTCAACTGTGCACAGAATTGCTTGGGAATTTAGCTGTTTCAGTAGTGTACAGTGTGGAAATAGTTAGCTGCTTTCAATCTGATATGCCAAAAATTGAGTACTTTTCTCAAATGTACGTCTTGGAAATTCTGGGGAAATAGTGTGCAAGCAATATCTCATATGTATTCATTCTAGCAGTATGAAAGACAAGTTGATCCTAGGTATCAGAATTAAAGAGTTATTATTTCTAGTACCTAGAAAGAAAGAAGGGTTTGTTTTTGTTGGTGGTGCCTTTTTTTTTTTAAAACAAAATCTCTCCAGTATTTACTCAGGAGCTTAGAACATTTAGAACTGAAAAGATGTTTAGGAATTATCTGTGCCTGACTCTGACTCTGGCTCCAGACAGGCCTCCAACAAATGCGTTAATACTTACCTTCTTACCCTTGAAGAACAATGACTAAGGATATTATGGTCTGCCTCTATTACCCAATCCAGTGTTTAAAAGTCTCCTCTCTTCCCCACTGCAAGTGTGTAAGTGTCAGAGACAAATTCAGCAACAATTTGTGACACTTCATTTCCTAATATAATTGTGTCTTTTTTCCCCTAGAAATTACCAGTCTTTACCCCAGTGTGTGTTTATTCAAGCCTTCTCCTCCGTCCCATGGGTTATGATTGAGTAATGAGCATAATTTATGGATTAGGCATACTCTTTAGTGACTTTCACTCTTATCCTGTTCTTTGCTCATTTTTTAGCTAATGAATCATCTCCAGCTAGGGGGAAGTATGAAAATCAAAGCTCTTTGCTGCCATATTTTTATGCTGACTTGAGGGCTATAGATACAGATTTTATATATCTGTGATACATTTGTTTACATTACTGTTGTTCACTGAGGACTAATTATATAAAGGAGTCATACCCCAAAGATGGAGTGATTTAAACCCCGTGGAATGTTTCTCTTAGAGTTGCAACTTCCATGATCATAGAACTTCTGAAATCTAAGTGTGCAATGGTAAGTATCCTCCAAAATAGTCTCGCCTTTTCCATCTCCATTTCTTTACCATTGCAAGTACATCTTCTGCAGATTCCATTCTGAGTAAGAGAGGAGAGTAGTGGGGTGTTAGTAAACAGTTAACTAAGGTGTAAGGAACTCCCAAATAGCAACAGAAAGTCCATATGTTCCCTATACCAGCTTTTGGGACTGTTCCTCAGTAGTCATTCACACATACCATTGACATACGTAAAAAGTTAAGTTCTTTTTATGTGACAGAATGGTTGAGAGCATGGGCTAAGTGCAGATTCCAAATCTATTTTTTACCAGCTGTGTGATTTGGATAAAGCTATTTAACCTATCCAAACTTCAAGTATTCACCTTGTCTGTGGAAATAGAAATTATAACAGTACCCATCTCAGAAAGTTGTAATGAAGATTAAATGAGTTAATTCCTGAAAAGTACATAAAATGATGCCTGTTATGTAGTGAATGATCAGTAACTATTAGCTATTAATAGCCATTATTACATGATTTATTTATAAAATCAACTTACTACTGTGGAGCATGCTTAAACATTTTGTTTGGACTATGGAAAGGAAAGCTGACACCATTTCCTGCACCTGTCAAAGTATTTATTGCCCTATATCTATGTGTACACCTTACTTGGTTATACTTAAATACTAACATCAGATTGTGTTATTTTAAAAACAGCTAAATAGGATCATTATCATATTTAGCAGACATAAATTAAAATGACCTCACATTTCTTTTCATCTAAATTTGAAATCAACATGGCTGTTTTATTTTATTAAATAAATATATAATGAAAGAAATACATAAATGAGGTATCCAGCTGGGAAATACAACAATAATGAGAAGAACTGTGTATTTTAAATGACATTTTTCTATCTATAAAAAAATGTTCTCTATGGAGTTGCTTCTGTCACCACCCCAAACTAAAATTTGTACATCGATCTGTGGTGGCTCTTCCTGGAAAGCAGTAACTTTACCCAGTGTGGAATAGTTTTGGAGCACTCTAATTATTTTACTAAAATTTACGTTAGCAATTACATTACAAATTAATTTGTAATGGGTTAAAATGACCTGTTTTAAATAATACAGAACAATCTTGAAATAGTTTAGCACAATCTCTCAATTGTGCTAACCAATTTGTTTGGTTTAACAAAACAAAAGAAGGATTTATGTTTTAGAAATTTACAGAAGTCACCATTATGTCAAATGTACTTTCAAACAGAATCATATTCTATTTGTTGGTTAGTGTGCCCACTGTGTAGCTGCAACTGTGTTAAGTGTTGAGGGTACATATGGGAATAAAACATAATTTCATGGGAGTATGAATACATGAGGAAAGTAACAGTATATGGAGAGCTGTATTTCAGGTATGCACAAGGTGTTAGGAAAGTACAGAGAACAAAACATAACAGGCCTGTGAGGAGTGGCCACAGAGGGCAAAGGGTCCGGAAAAGTAATTCTGAGATAAGGTGATGCTTGAACTGAGAGTTTAAGGGTGATTTAGACAAAAGAAGAGAGCTGAAGAAAAATGTAAACACCTTCTAGACAGAGGAAAACATGAGATATAGCAGGGAGGCAAGAGAAGATGGCACGTTACAGGGACCAGCAAAAAGGTCAGTGTGGTGTAAGCAAAGAAAGCACTTGAAGACATGACTGGTATCAAGTCCAGAGATCATGCAGGCATCGGCTCTGATGGTTCTTATAAGGCAGGTCAAGGGTTGTGAATTACTTCCGAAGGCAAGAGAGAATCATGGAAAGGTTTTTATGAAAAGCTTTATTTTCATATTTGCATTTTAGAAAAATTCTCCTGGCAGCAAAGTGAAGATAGATTGGAAGAGAGCCCGAATAGAGGAAGGAAAACTAATTAGAAGGCAGTTATAATGGAGAACATTATGAGTTAAGGCAAGTGAGTACAAGAATGGAAAGGAGAATTGGAGAATTATTTAGAAGGTAAAATTAGTAGGATTTAGTGACTGATGTCAATCTGAGCATGGAAAGTCAGCAGTAATTTCCAAAGCTGAGGGTTGTGGTGCTGCCCTCTGCTGAGAGGGGGGGGAATATAGGAAAAAGAGCAAGAGAGAAAGAATTCCCTTTTAGGCATATGTTCAATTTTACATTTGAGACTTCCCATATATCATGGCGTTCCCTAACAGAGATAACCAGGTGGCTGTTAAAGAAACCTAGATTTAAAACTCTTAAAGTGTAACTAGAAAATGGAGCTATCAACTTATGAGCATGTATATCGTCAGGTAGTATACGATAAAGGTATGTGGTCCGAATAAATGAGAGAGAAAAATAAGAGCTGAAAATGGAGACCTCAGAAATTACCAGTATTTAATGTGCCAGAAAAATGGAGCCTCCAAAAGCTCTCGAAACATAGTGGTTAAAAAAAGTAAAAGGTAAAAAAATATGTCATAGAAACTAATGAACAAGAGAGGTTAAAACAGAAAGACCTTGCACATAGAAAATGCCTGCAAATATCTACACCGAATTGTCAGTACTGCCTAGCTCTGGAGTGTGGTGTTGAAGAGAATGACCAAAAAACTGGGAATTTTAATTTGATATTTAAGTTTTTAAATAAAGTATTTTGTACCTCTTTACTATTTTTGCAACTTCTTGTGAGCTTATACTACTTGCAAGTAAAAATAAAAGTTATGTTAAAATGTAAGTTATAGTCAATTGAATATTAAAAATAAATCAGTCGAACAAGCTGCTTAATCAGAACAGAACCAGGAGGGAAAGGGCAACATGGCGTGGTCAACAATATTATACTGCAGATAGGTCAAGAAAGATGAGGACTGACAGCAGCCTTTTAGCTTGGTATTTAGATGTGCTCACAAGTGACCTTATTAAAAGCACTTTCAGTGAAAGGCTAAGGGCAGAAGCTGGACTGCAGTTGTTGGGAAGCGGAAAGTGAGGACATGAGGTGGCATAGTCATCACATCAAGGAGAACCTTGAGTGTAAAGAAAAAGAAAGAGTTAGGGATCTAGGGCCCATGGTAAGTGAAATCTTTGCTCGAGATCCTTATGGTGGCGAGAAAAAGATACATGCTAGCTACCTTAGGTTTACTGCAAGTCACCCAGGAGTGTGAAGTAGCGTGAGGAGCTGACTTGCAGCCCCCAGTCATTCTGGATCCCAGCTTTCCTAAAACTGGGATTTGCAGGAAGTTTTGTAAGAAATTTAAGAAGTCACGCAGCAGGGCTTCTTGGAGGAAAGAGACCTGAGCTTATTTATATGTTGGAGGTAGGCACCAGTATACAAGCAAAAGCTCTAAAGTACAGAAAAGTGTTAAGGTACTTATAAAGAAATGTACCTGGGCTTCCATGGTGGCACAGTGGTTGAGAGTCCGCCTGCCGATGCAGGGGACACGGGTTCGTGCCCCGGTCCGGGAAGATCCCACATGCCGTGGAGCGGCTGGGTCCGTGAGCCATGGCCGCTGAGCCTGCGCGTCTGGAGCCTGTTCTCCGCAACAGGAGAGGCCACAACAGTGAGAGGCCCGCGTACCGCAAAAAAAAAAAAAAAAAAAGAAATGTACCTTTAGTTTGGAAAGTAAACCCAACTATTTCTGGGAATGAAGTTTCATATAAAATACAAAAACTCACCATGTTCCAAAGGCTAAGCTGATATATTTTAAACATATATTCACACTAGAAAAAAATGAATAAGATGATATAAATAAATTTCTTTCTTTTTTCTTCTTCTTCTAAAGCCGAACAACAACTTATCCTTACACAGAAACGCAGATGTACAGCCAAAACACTGGAGGGAATTACTTTGATACTCAAGGGAGTTCTGCACAGGTGACTACCGTGGTCTCATCCCACAGTATGGTGGGCACTGGTGGGATTCAGATGGGCGTCACGGGAGGACAACTCATCAGCAGCTCTGGAGGAACCTATCTGATTGGCAATTCAATGGAGAATTCTGGTCACTCAGTGACACATACCACTCGGGCTTCCCCAGCGACAGTAAGTATTTGAGTTTTTATTTGTTTAATTTAGGTTCTTGATAGCCTCTATCGTACATTTTTCTCTTTAGAGAGAAAAAATCCAAAACACTGGGCTGGAGCAACAATGTGCTGTGCAGTTTTAGTGTGTAATTTTTTCTAATATATGTTAAAATCCGTACTTAAATAGTAAAATTAAAAATGTTTACCCATATGCCATATGTAAAGTCATTTTGCATTCTACCAGAGGGACACTTTTGGGAAGCACTGATCTAGGTGATTCCAATGAAAAGCATTTATATTGGCTCTGATCATAGGTATGAGCAAATAATATCTTAGGAACACAACCACATATTTGAGTTTTCAAATTTTTTATACTTAATAAATATATTTATTTTGACACAAGATATCTTCAATCCACATTTTTTTTTTTTTTTTTTTTTTGCGGTACGCGGACCTCTCACTGTTGTGGCCTCTCCCGTTGCCGAGCACAGGCTCCGGACGCGCAGGCCCAGCGGCCATGGCTCACGGGCCCAGCCGCTCCACGGCATGTGGGATCTTCCCGGACCTGGGCACGAACCCCTGTCCCCTGCATCGGCAGGCAGACTCTCAACCACTGCGCCACCAGGGAAGCCCAACACAAGATATCTTAATGTGCTAAAATGCTGTAATAGAAATAGTAATAAGAACCTATGCGGAATTTGATATCCTCAAACTCTGTAACCTGGCCTTTACATTTTTACCTCAACTAAGCATAGGCAGAATAATCATTTAGAACCACCTAGCTAAAGTAGAAATGGAATTGATTTTCTAGATGTTTCATATAAAAGGGGCCTGGGGATTTGAATTAAGTGCATGTACCCCTTTTCCATAATCCTACCATATAGTTTGTTCTTATAATGAAATAGAAACAAATTGAGTAGAAAATAATTATATGAGAGGCTTTACATTTTTCATTTTGTGGATTTTCTTCATGATATAATAGGTACTTGGTAAGTATTTTGTATATACTTTTTTCTGTTTGTAATGATTGCATGTGTTCATACTTTCATCATTTAGTATCTTTTCCCTAATCCATTTTTTCAAGCCCTTATTTTTAATTCACTATTTTCTGGTAGCATCAGAAGAGATAACTAACCGTTCTAACTGGAGAGTTCTTTTTTTGTCATTTTTTCTTTGTATTTTTGAAGCATTTCTAATGCCCATTTCTCTCTTGCTTTTGATAACACTAAATATACCATTTCTAAACCTTTTAGTCACAGCAGTATATTTATGTAGATTAGAAACTAAATCATAGCTTCTCTGGACCTCAGTTCCCCTGTCAATAAAATAAGGGGTTAGTTAGACTAAATGATTTCCTAATATCCTCTCAGCTTTAAAATCATAATATTTACCAACAAATTATAAAATGTTCTAGATGTAAAATAACTGTATCTTTACCATAAAAGGAAAAGGGGTAGATTAGGTACCAGTACTGTATAATGCTCCTGATACAGGCCATCCAGAAAGTGATTTTCAGTGGAAAGGGAAGTACTTGCCACTTACCAAGGCCTTAGGAAAACTGGAAAAAATGGGGAGGAAGAGTCCTTTCCCACTTTAGTTTCATATACCCTCTCTCATGCTGGCTTACCAGCGCTCCATCCCCACCCCTCTCCTGCTTCACCTTCCCCAGGCACTGATACTTGCCTTCACACTGAATTTTAGCTATCTGTTAAACATCCTCATGAACTAGATATGGGTTTACTAAATTTACTAGTGCTATCATTGAGTTAACTAAATTGATTATTCCAGGTCATGTATATATAGGTACAAACATTAGCAGGATGAATTTTATAGCTTGATTTTTTTGTTTGTTTTTCTGTATAGAGTGTGAAAAATGACATGACTCCTTAAGTTATCCATTACACAAATTTGGTGCAATTTTTATTATATTAATTGGTAAATTAACACAAAATAACTGACTTATAACAGCTGAGAATAGTGGGAAAACTATTTTTAAAAAATCAATTCCTGTCAGTTGTACATATTAATTCACTCTTTTAAAAAGGCATTAATATTTAAGGTTCTGTTAAGGATGGTTTTTTTGTTTTCATTTTTACAAGAAAATTTCCTTTTTAGCAAAAGGAGTTTAAAAGTTAAATAAAGAGAGAACTTTTGCATGGAAAAATCATAAGGTGCTCTCATCAAAGCACATGATAGTGACATGATAGATACATATTATCTAAATATACATCTGCTAGTAATTATTACCTTACATTTATTACCACAGTTTATATTTGATTTAGATCCCCCCTCAATCGTGCTGAAGATCTTCATCTGCTTCATTCACAGTGAGGTGGTGATTCTGTACAGTTTCACATCTGTTCCTATAGTAAAGTTAACAAAGTTTAAGTGCTATGACACCTATTTAAGATTTCCTCCCATCCTCCTCTTGCCAAATGCTAGAAAATTTGTGCTATGTATTATAGTTGTTTAGACTCCTGAAACTCTAGATTTTTTGGTAGGTGCCGTGTCATTAAAGGAGATTTCCTTATTTTCATGTACCTTTTTCATTCACTGTAGAACCATAGAAAGAATGTCTATGAGCACAGTCTCTAAGAACCTGTTAGTCGAGATGCAAGCCATTTCTTTCCAAACGTTGAGCCAGACTGTGCCATATAAATTCAGTTTTTCTGACTGTTCTTCTGTGTTCAACCTACCACCCATAGCATGCCTGATGCAGCTAACTGGGTAGGAGTAGCCTCTACTATTGCCAGAATTCCTGACAGTAGTAGTCAATTGGGCTGTGCCTTAAGAGCCTGTAATAAGTGGAATGTATAGTCAGTTAATTCAGTTGATGTGAAACTAGTTAAATTTGAGGGCTCCGGAATAGCACAAACCTAATACCTTTACGCGGTTTCTGGTTACCAAGGTTTCCTGCTCTGGTTCCCAGAATAATTGCCTTTGCTGTCTCTTACATTTGACCTCTGTCTATATAGAAATACTTTCACTTAAATTTATTAGGAATAACTTTCTGCCACAAAGAGGTTTACTCCAATGTGCAAACCAACTTCTCAGGATAAATCAGTAAAAAGAGATGATTTGAAATTGAAACCACTACTAAGAAAAATAAATGATCAGCACTTGAAATATTTTGTTACCTAGTCTAATAGTCAATATAAAACCATCTTTCTTATAATAGAAGGATCTTTATTTACATTAATGGAGAATTTTTATTTGAGCATATGATTTACTTTAGTTTTATAACCTTAAGTGCAAAAATATTTTACATAAACATGTTTTAGTATTTCATTTTTGCTGTGTATTGTAAAATGTTTCAGTTTTCAAGGTACATAGAAATTTCAGAAGTTTTCAAAAGATTATTATGGTAACATATTAAATTTTATTTGATGAATATATTATGGTACAAGCTACCAATATTCAGATTTGGTCAAAATACTTTTTCTCCTTTTACTGTGCTCTTTTATTTGGTCAATGGAGTCCATGTATAAATTATTAAACATGTATGTATGTATATATTTTTTTATTTATTTAAATATAAGTATAAACTTATACACATTTAAAAGGCATTTCCTGCTGATAGTATTAAATAAGAATTTTCAAAAAGATTATGTAACATTTTTTATTGGAAAATCACTGGGTATGACTTCAGCTAAGTTACTATTTGAGTAAATAAACATTTTACGTTTCATTAAATTAATGCTAGGGATCTATTGTTAACATTTCAGGAGAACATGGACATTAAGGTAGAAGAGTTGACTACAGTCATATCTGAACTCATTATGCCTTGATCTTCCTTCTAAATACATCTCCATAGTGTTCCTTATGTGTCTTTATTCATTTTAAACTCTTAATTTATTTTTCATCATTATTTTTCATATAACCATATTTTTTTTAGAATTTTAGAATTTTGGAACCGGAACACATTTTGCATTTGAGAATCAAAAATTTATGATTGTAGTTAGTGATATTTTTGTATTTATCACAACATAGTTTATCTATACCAGACTATATAATAATAAGCAATTTGCTATAAGAAATTTAATTTATTCATTCCTCCATAAAATAACATTTGAATTCTTATAATGAGATGGTTATTTATGGAGTTGTTTTTCTTCTTGATAAGAAAACTAACTAAATTAGGTTACATTAATCATTTTTGAGACTGTGATATGAAAGCTAATTTTCTACTTTTCTGTATATACATTTAGTAATTATATATGTTAAATGGCTCTTGCTAAAATTAGATCCCACCAAAGGGCACAAGGAAAATGTGTTGAAGCTAATATTGTTCATATCTCTACCTTTTTTGATTAATGAAAAATACTGTAATTTTTTCAATTGTTTGGAGGAAAATTTCAATGTCCATCTACTGCTATATAAGTAAAAGTTTGGCCTATCTTATATAATTTATAGAAAGTTAAGAATTCATTCAATAATTGTAGATGCTTTTATTTCTTTATCCTTGGGTTTGCATGTAAAGTTTTTATGAATTTATTTATGTGAATTAGTTATACATTCTTAAGTAGCACAATTCAAAAGATAAAAGAAAGTACATAATGCAGTGTCCCTCTCATTTCTGTTCCTCATTTCTTCTCCTTAGAGGCAATCAAAGTTATCAAGTTCTTTGAGTATCACTCTGGAGTTATTCTCTGAATGTACAAGCAGAATGTCTCTCTTTCCCTCGCATTAGCATTTTTATTTTTTTTTACGAATAGTAACAAAAATACTGAATCTTGCTTTTTTTTCCCACCTAACGGTGTGTGTCAGAGATTTTTTTTTATATCAATACTTGAAGGGCTTCTTTATATATTTATGGGGAAATGACTATATTAGAAGGAGCTGAACTGCCCATTCTTCTTACCAAAGGGTAAAAAATGTTAAAATAATGTTGGATTACTTGTTATGGCTATATAGAGATAGAAAAGCAACATAGTCACGTAAGACAAAAATTTCTCTTTAATTGTCATATATAAAGATATGCTTGGAAGAAATTTTTTGTTAGAAATGTGATGTTATGCA